GGAGACACACTTCGGTACTTACCTACAATAGTACTCCAAACAGGAAGATCTGGATTATTTACCTCCAGCAGATGCTTAAGAATTTCTGTGTGAAAGTAAAGCACTGCTAAATGAATTACATTGTTTCCTTTACTGTCAGTCTTTTTGTAGTTGGCACCGAGAGAAAACAAATACTGCAGTGTGTCTAACGCCCCAGATATGGCAGTAAGCAGCAGTGGAGTAACTCGATACCTTGGAGACACATGAAGAGATTCTAATATAAATACATGCAACTTTTTCTATGTCAAATTTTATTATTTAAGATACAATTACTTAAAAAACTATTTCACTTATTAAAACAGTTCTTTTAAATGAAACCCAAAAATGTGCAAATAGGAAACATTCTATTCCAAGAAACCAATACCCCTTATTTTACAAATTTTGTCTGTTCAGTCTTGTTAATTTGCATTATGCTGAACTAAGGCTAACAAGGAGACTTCAAATCAGACTGACAATGCTCCGTTTTCTGTCCGTTCCAATGAGTAGAAATATAAAAGGTGTTTCAATTTCTGTTGCTCATAGATGTGCAGCTGCACAGTATCATGAGGTCAGGATGAAATCTCAGCACATCAGCAGGACCAACACCCTATCTCTTCTGCTTTGACACTTGTTTAAAATACATTTAAATTCTACCAGTTAAAGACATCAGCGCTTTCAGATAAGTTATTTTACTTTCATATGGACAAATAATCCATATCTGTTCCACACTGAAAGTACAACTAGAAGTAGAGCAGCTGTGCACACAAGCTCTACATCTCATTCTCTTCCTTGAAAATACCCAACAACTGACCTGCCTGGATGTGCCTAAGACACAGCAAGCACTGTAGAAAAAGAAAAAGCAGGCACAATTGCTAATGCTTGTAGCACGTCTTCACTCATCCAGGCCACAGGTGTATCATAAAAATACAAAATCACAATAATTGATATTTCCATATTGGTGGATCTGCCTTCATACATTTAAGGATAGTGCTAAAAATATGTTGTTACCCTTATTTTGAAAGTCTTTTTTTTCTCCTCTCGATATCTTTTTTTTTTTCTGCTAACCTCACAAATTATAATTTTTCTATAGCGAGTTTTTTTTTGTTATACAGCACTACTGAAAACACTTCTAGTAACTTACACAGCTGTTGTTTCAGCCTCCAGCAGGCTAGGGTCTTTTCTGCACAGGACTGTGATACAAGCAATCTTATCATAGAATGCAGCATAATGCACAGCCAGCCAGCCTTGATGATCGGCCACTTTATAATCTGCCTTCATGGCAAGGAGACAGTTAAGGGCTTCAATGGATCCACACTGAGCTGCTAAGTGTAAGGCAGTAGGACCTAGAACTAATACACACATACAGGAAAAATCTCACATGCTGACCAAAAAAAAAGCAATTGAATTGAAGTGTTTGCCTGTGTGTAAGGCTTTTCACTGTATTTGCAGAAACGGCTTTTATAAAAAAAGATGATAAAGGCTGGTAGTTCAGGGGTAGGTAGCACAGTCACACTCTGCTTTTCTCAAAATATGAAACTAAAGTATCTTATCTTCCATACTACAAAATGTGTATTTTGGAAAGTTTTTATTTTTACAGTTTCCAAAGACTCAGATTAAAATCTCCTGGATTTAAATGTGAGTAATGTATTTCCTGTTCCCTCAGTGTGTGGTACCATGTTTCCCCTCACAGATGGGTAGTAAGTAACTTACCAGACTTTTCATAAGGCTGCACACTTTTTTTCCCTGAAAATAAGCATATAATATTCAGTCGGGAACAATACTATCAACGAAGAACTGGCAGGGCAAATATTTGTATGAAAGAACAGCAGCTACTGTTAAATTGTAAGACCCAGAAGGAGAGAATTAATCCAGTTGTGAAACAAAATGTTCCCCTTTGTGATGGGACAAAGTTGTACCCCAGCCACGCTTCTCCTTAGAAATGAAAGGAAACGCAGAAAAGAGTCACCCTCTTAAACAGAAACTCTTGCAGCTAACCAAGACCACCAATATTCTCTCTGAAATTATTAGCCATAGCTTAAGATACATATTTTTTAAAATACAAAGATATCGAATATCAAGCTGTTCAGGGAATTAGCAGTCTTAATTTATCTGTAAATAAGGAGACAATAAAACGAGGTAAGAAATCCTTCCCTTAAGGAATAGAGATGGGAATAAATGTTGCATATATAATCTAGTTTATCACATAGAGTACTAGTTACTACTGCAGACTCAGATCTGCTTTTGAAGGAAACACTGATCATTTTTCCATGCCTACTTAAAAAAAAAAAAAAAACAAACTGAAGCACCAGTCAACATTTACTTACGTGCTTTTTCTGCCTTACTTTTTTGCAAGTGTTTTCCTGTAATAAAATCATATATCATATCATCATATATCCTACTTATGTATCTTCTATATTTTGCAATATATATCTTATATATTCCAAAGAACAGAACATATTTTATCCCCTTCTACATAGCTAGTCTAAAAAGAGATGCTTAAAATTTATAGAAAAGCAGAATAAAAAGCAGTTAAAAACATATCTTTGTTCCCATTTCTCTTTGCACTACAGGAGATAACAGAGTATGAAGTGACTTGCTTAGGTTTATTTCTCAGATCAGAGAGCTAGATTCCCATGAAATTTCTTAACTAAAGTTTTCACAAGGTTTAGAAAAAGAACAAAGTTCTCTGCAGTCTATTTTTACAAAACTCTGCTTCTAATAGGAGTGAAAAAGAACAGAGGGTCCTAAACATCTCCCGCACCTCACATCTTACCGAGGCGAATGTGAACGATGCATCTCTGGTTGATATCCACATGGGCTTTAATCAGCTGGTATATAACTGGAACACGGTTGTACATGGCAGCATGGTGCAGAAGAGTGAAACCAGACTCATCAATAACACTGAAACTGGACGTAGATGCCTTACGACAGAAGGCAATGAAGATAGCAGCTAGTCCTCTCTTGGCAGCTGATTTCATACCATATGGCAAGCTCTAAAATTTATGAAAAATAAAACAGTATGTCTTGTTCATGTGCAACTGGACAAGAAACGTGAAAACAATACGTTTTGAAGAAGTTAATGAGGACAGAATAAAGGTTACAGAGCCATTAGTACCAGTACTGATATATGAGAGAGAACACACTTCCATTTATTTATCTTCTGTAAAATTTACAGGTATGGGAACAAACAGTTCACTGTAGACTGTGTAAATACACTCTATCATAATATTTATATTTCTTGAATGCAGATGCACCTTAAGAGAAAAATATTTTCTTTAATTGAGTACCTTGCATTTAATAGCTTCCTTGTAACCAAATTTTCTTTTCAATTGGTCAAGAATCTGTGTATCTGTAAAGGCAACTCTTTTGGGCTTAAGAGTATTTATCTTTTCATTTATGGCTGCCCACCATGGTGTCCTATAAAGTTGCTGATAAAACCCTTCAAATTCAATACAGATCACATAGTAGCTGTAATTAAAAAACAAAACACACACACAAGTTAGAAAGAAAACTAATTTAAAGGCTCTCCATTACTTTTTTGATTTCTCAGGATACAAATTCACATAGGTGAGACAGAAACATGTATGAGACCCACTGATTTTAGAAAAGCTTTTTACATCATCCCACATGACTTATTACTGAACCAAGTCAATATACTGTATCTCAGTAAACCAAACACGGTAAAGCACACATTGAAAACATTAAATATTCGTTCAGAAAATTAAAAGATCCTATATTATTTTAAAGTCTATATTATATTGTCCGTACTACTGTGTATATTCCTTACCTCTTACCCTCAAATTCCATGACTGGAATGGGATAATGTTCTCTACCGGTTGTATCTCCATCAAACAACTGAGCCATTTGTCTTGATACACTATGCTGTATTTTTTCATAGGCAGCCTATGAAAAAAATCACAGAATCACAGACTGGTTGAGGTTGGAAGGGACCTCTAGAAATCATCTGGTCCAACCCCCCTGCTCAAGCAGGGACACCCAGAGCACGGGGCACAGGGTCGCATCCAGGCAGACATTATAAGCATTTCTGTATAGCCAATTTAACATTAATAAAATGATTGTTAGAATTGCAGCCTTACCAGCCCTATCAACGCTCATCTACAGTGCAAGCTGAAGTACAATTTTGATTTCTCTTCATGTTTAAAAGTCCTTTGCATCTTCATACAGATCGTTTTCAACAACAGGACTAATTAAACCCATATCTAAAGAGAAGCATTCTTCTGGGAATAGTTTTTACCTCCTCCAGTGAATCCGTTTTGGTGATTCCTCAAACTGGCCTCATGCCATCCAGAAACGTCACATATTATATATTAAAACAAGAAGTCTGATACCTTAAGGCTAGGTGTCTTTTAAGGCAACATTGTCTTTATAATTAAGATACCTTAGGCAAATATGTACAGATCAGTATTAGCAATAAATATTCTAACTGCACACTTTCAGAAATGTGTATTGCCTATTCTGCAACATGCAATTCCTGGAAAATACCCCTTCAGTTCGCTATAGAGTGCAATGACAGGAATGACAGTATCCTTAGACTACATAATTTGACACAGAGCCACAGCAAGACAGAGAGGGAAGTATTTGTACTTGTGCTTCATTCTCACCTCTTCAAGCACAAGTTAACAGCGTCTAAACTACCATATTTTCTCATACCTTGTTGGCTGTAAAGACATGCACACATACGTTACGTAAAAGAGAGCAAACTAAAACCTTGATCTCTTCTGAAATGTCCTGTATCGAAGGAGTCCCAACGTCAAATTCTATTCCTCCATGGGCATGAAAAAATTCATTCTGTGCATATTGAAAATGCTGACATTTAAATTGTTGTCCAAGAAAAAATGGAGGCAATTCTCTTTCAGTTTTAAGCTCGAGACCTATAAAAGGATTTTTTTAAGAAAAGTAGAATTATGATAATAATTTAATACACTAAAAAAACTTATTTTGATACTGAAGATATTTGACTCTAAACAGCTTTATTTCAGCTGAAGTAGCATATTATTTTGGAATAACTATATTGGGAGGAATTTATCACTAGTACAACACCGCTGCATCCAATTGAATTGTACCTGGGGTGACTCACTTATGTAGTGTATCATGATTCAATTTCAGATATTTGGAGTTACTACATTTACAACATAGAATCTAAATTTTTAAAAATCACTAGAATTGCAGTTTTCTTACTTGAGTATGCCTGAAGAAGTTTATTTAAATTGGGAATTTCCATCTTCTTCTTAAACCCCAGTAAAAATGGAATCAAAAAGCTCATTAACTTCAGGTATTCTATATTCTTGTGTACTGTGATGTTCTTTTCTAAGTGTTTCTTCAGGAGCTTTTGGTGAAGAGCTAACCTTTGCTGCAATCTCTGATATGTTTCTTTGTCTAAACAGTCCTCTGCTGATCTTATAACATTGGTGAGTCTGTATACTGCATCAAACCTAAAAAAGTTTTCTTGTTGCTCAACTTGTGCATTACCAAATGTCAACTTAAGTACTATATTATCAGCATACTGCATGAAGAAACTTTTTTCTTCTGCACTGTTTGGATTGTAAGTTGGATCTTCATTGATATTTTCATCATAGATTCCAACAAAGTCAGGTTCAGTAGAAATATCAGTTAGCCCTGCAAAATACAGAAATAGAAAAATCTACAAAATGTAGTTTTAATCTAAATTTTATAACATTTTTTACCTACCATGAAAATGTATTTGTACCATTTAAATGCAAATGCTGTTCTTCCATTTTAAAAGTATATTTGTCAGAAGCACTTCGCATCTGTAAGCTGACAGTATTCTAATGCAGGGGAAATAATTAGTTATATATACTGCAGTAGAAGCTAAACTCTTTTGGAATTGTGGCAAATAACCTTTTGTGGCATCAGCTTTAGTTTTACATAAGCTCTAACAATCTATATTTTTTCCAAGTAAAGATCCCCATTTTTAGGAATGCCACATATATATATGCACATTAAACTTATGTGTATATGCAGTTATCAGACTTAATAGGAGTATAATATCCAAAAATATCAAAGGAAGATATTTTTGTAACCCACCTCCTGAGGAAAACACTGAAGAAATGTTTCCATCCGTTTGGGGTTTCCCATCTGCATCCACGTCCACCTCAGAGCGCCACAACTTGGAAAACCTCATGCGTTTCTCTCTGGGCACATAGGCCCCGTGCCACAGGGCTTTGAGCATGTAATCAACACTGATCAGAATCTGTCCAATTCTGGTATCGACATAAGCTGATGGAAGCTGACAAGATGTGCTTTGGTCATAGTTAGCATCTAAACTGATCGAAGGTATCTGGTTTAAACAGTAAATGCCAACAGCCAACTCTCTCAAAATCTGATGGACTTCTTTACAGTCCAAGGGTACACCTGAAACCACCGGTGCCAGCAAAATTGCAGTCCGGGAACTTATATTTCTTAGCTGGCTCACCAGTCCGCTGGGAAGCTCTATTGGACACTCCATGGCATCTTTTGAAGCCAGCCAACTCGAGGACATGGCTGTAAGTAACTCCTGCAGCTCAGTCGCGTCATACTTCTTGAAGAAGGCACTTGCATTTTTCTGCACTGCTAGGTTTGACAAATAGGTTGCCTCATCAACTTGTTCAGCTCTTGGGAATGCTTTTTTGACAGGCCTGAGCATTCTCCAAGAATATTCTTTTTCTGTTTCCAAAATAAGATTTTTAAGAAAGGCTAACAAAAATAAGAGAACTATTATTTAAGCCAGTACTATATTAGTATGTGCAAGAAAATAATACAATTCTTAAGGACAAGATTAAAAGCCAGTAACACATCAATGCTCTAAACTATCAATGAATGTAAATGACTTCAGTGTGTCAAGTATTTTAAAATATTTTCTCTAGAACTCTTTTCTTTAAAAACAAAAAATGCGCTCTGAAACATTGCAGAACTTAACATTTTGTAATAAAAAAAATCTTTACAGTCTAAGCTACTTAGTTTTAGCTATAGCTACAATATGCTTTGAAATATATTTAGAATAGCTATAATATGCTTTGTATGAAAAAGACTTAATTGTGTCTGGCACGAGCACTCCTTTCTTTCCTTTCAATTGGACAGACTTTCCAAGAAAGTAGAACTGTAAGGAAGCATCTTGCCTATCAAGCTCCTACCTTAAGAACAACAAAAAAAAACACCCAATCACACTAGAGAGCGAGTATCCGTTTTAACATTGCTTCCCTTCCATTCATACTTAGAAAATAAACCACCTGAAGCTTCTCTTCAGGTAAGCTCCTCTGTTTCTATTTGACCCCATGACTGTACTGAGACACTTACCTAGACACAGTCTGACTTTTGTTAATGTTCTTTTTGAAAGAAGTTTGTGTTTTGCTTGATGTCTTTAGGGAAGCCTTCTTCTCACTACAGAGGATGTCTCACAACGTCACAGTAAAAGCTAAAGCTACAGGAGCAGTAGCAAATGCAGGAGAGCCTGTGGGGAGCTCCCCTTCAGCTGGGGCTCCCCCCGAGGCCTGGCTCCAGCACCTGGAGGCAGCAGGCCTGGGGGAGGCTGCAGCAGCAGGCCCAGGGAGGCCCTGCAGCAGCTCAGCCCCAGCCCGCACCACGGCGACAGGGAGGCCCTGGCAGCGCCCTGGCGCCAGCGCCCTGGCGACTGGCAGCGCCTCCCTCCCGGGCAACCCCCCCAGGGCCCCTCTCCCACTCCCCAAACACCCAGGCCTCCATGCTGCAGGGTCACAGTAAGACACTGGCGTGTAAGAAAAAACAAGACCAAAGTCTCCAAAACAACTCCAAGGCTTTACTGAACTCGCACACGGGATAATGTTGACTTCTCAAGACGTAACTAAACTTCATCAGTTGGAAGTGACTTGAGCCTGCTGCACTTATCAGAGGCCTTCTCACTGTTGCTCTCCAGTTTGGCGATTCGCGAGCCAAACTGGACAGCCCTCTTGGGCAGAATGGCCGATGCCGTAAGGCCAAGCTCCACAGCTGCGAGGCGCAGAAGCAGTTTCTCACCAAGTCCTCGAGGTAACGTCAAGTCTGCTTTTTCAGAGATAGGCAGAGAATTGAGGAAGGAAACAACATCTTCATCAAGGAAAGGAAATCTAAAGAAGAGATAGACATGGTGAAAAACCCCTTACAAAGTCAATACAAACTTCCTTCTCCCCTATTCTGTGCAAAGGCCTCAAAGCCATGTTGTCTCCCAATCCAAGACACTGCAGTACTGAAGCAAGTCTCCCAAGACAGCAACAGTATCCTGGAGGGTGACATATTGTATCACTTTTAAAATCAGAACCCTGAAAATTTTCGAAATTGCACTCAAGAATAATTTTTCTTTTTTTTAAAAAAAGCATTTTTGATGTTCACGCTATCAAAAGAAAAAAGTACAAGAGATTAGCAAATACAATGCAAGAATAAGATCACGTTAAAAGTGACGGTTCTTAGGATAACTTTTAAATATTAGCAACACTATACAAAGCTGTACCGTAACTTTGAAACAAAAATATTTAGACAAGAAATTCTTACAACCTTGTGGAGTAAGATTTCCAGATATTTTTATCATCCAAATGATTAACAATATTGCCTGTCCACCACTGCAACTACTCTTTGCTAAAACACTAGGACTTGAAAAAGCACTTTGTGACACAAAGATCTCATAAAAAGCCAGACTTTCATGCACCTGAGCCGTCCCTGCTATAGCACAGCGGTTCTAAGGAACTAGGTGCTAGTGTGGAGGATGTAAACAAGGACAAATCGGTTCTTTAACCACTCTGACTTAACAGCCAGGAAATCCAGTGGATAATGACCATGTCATCATTGCTGTGGCAGGAATAAGTGGCTTTTGTGCTGTGGTACCGCAGCCTCTGTAAAGGCTGGATTAGGTAGTTTCCTTTTTCCAAAGCCACCCTCCAAGTCACCACACAACAAACTTTTCAAAACTGTGCAAAAGACTTTTGAACTTAAAATGATAAAAGCAACTTGATTTTGTTTATTCCAGTATCCAACAGTTGCCACTTAAAATTTTCAGACAGAAATATGTTTGAATTTCTGTATTTTCCTGAAGAACTCTTTTACAGAACTATTGATGGCTATTTTTCTACAACAATACATACTAATTCAACTGAATTGGAATTTAAAGTTGCAGTAAACCTTCTATTGCAGTGGTAAAGATCATAATTTAAAAAGTTTTGCTTCACATTAGGACAATACTACCTGGCTTCTTTTCCATGATCACCAATAATCCTGTCATCTCTACCAAGATTTCTAGAAGAAATGCGATCTAACTCCATTTCAATTTCTTTATTTAGACCCTCTAAACCATAATTTTTGAAGCAAACACGATGTCGAGAATAGCCAGCAAGTTGCTCATCTGCTCCAATTCCTGTAAGTACAACCTAAGGAAAGAGAAGAGATGTTCTTAATATCCATGCAATCTAGTAGCATTTGGCAGCTTTAAGAGAGTTAACTACAACTTAGTAAGGAGAGTAAATTTAATGTATGTTCTCTCTATATAAACTAGTACGACACATACCACAGCCTAGTTGACACATTAACAAAGCCTGAAATAGTTCAATCACTGGAAAGCTCAATTTAAGTAGGTTCATGATCAGACCCAAGAATACAATCATTTCTACCAAAGCAAGGAAAAATCTTATACTAAGTAAAAAAGTGCCATATTCTTCTGCCTAGTCAATGACCAATGACAGAGACATCAAACGTCATGGAGAAAAAAAATAAAATAAAATAAAAAAAACTAATACACCTGGACCATCATCATGCCTTCAAGAGCAAGTCATTGTAAAATCAGAATTCTAAATATAACCGGTCAAGTGCATGCTACTGTTATGACACTTGCTAGTGGTCAACTTACATATGAAACAAAGTTACCTGTGTACAGCAGTATGTAATTTTAGGGAGAATGACACTGTCTCTTCATGATTTATTAACTCATAACCCTTTTCAACATATTTTCAATATAAAATAAACTTGCTTTTTTCCCCAAACATGAAATATGCAGCTTTACCTAAATCAGTCAAGTAAGTCAAATGTTTTACAGTGATATTATTTAAAGCAAACTACTCCTGCACTGCAATATATCTTTATTTTTTTAATCCAAGTAACTAGCACAAAAAATAAGAAGAATGTCAAAAACCAAGGGCAACAATGGCATGCAAACTCCTGAACTTGAAAAGTTTATTCTTCCCTGCATAAACCAGAGATTTTGAGAAGGTAAGGGAAGGGAAAAGAAAGAAATGAATTCCCAAGAAAAGCATCTAGTTATTAAAACAAAAAAACAAACAAAGAACTTACTTTTTATATAGTTTTGAATAAGTAAGTTACAAAAAGAAAAGGGAAGGAGCTCCATGTAGTTCAAAAAAATCATTCACTCAGATTTCAATTACAACAGTTTCCAAGACTGAGTCTGTTATTAGCAATGACTTATTTTGTCACATAAATAATATGCCTAAATAATAAGCTGGTAATTTGCAAGCCAGGAAATGCTGGCACAAAACAATATTGCTTAATAACTCATTAGAATTTATGCCACTAACTTTATTGACCTACTCAGTTTGGACTGAATAGCAGTTGTTACTGCTAGTGTTATTACACTGAAAATGATAGGTACTATTTTTTTTTCTAGTCATATTGTTGTCTATGCAAATTTCTTGAAAATCCATGTAATTTGGAACTCATATAAAAACAGCATGTATTTTTAAACTCTAAGTTACACAGATTATCACTGCAAAAATATTTTGCATTCCTCCACTGAATTTTAGAGGTCTTATAAATGTTAAACATACATAACTAATTCCTGAAACAAAACAGAACTGTTTTTGAATTCAAAAGCCAAGCATAAGGCAACAAAACAAGATATTTGTACCTTTGCAGAACTTCTATATGGTTTCAGTTCTCCACAGTTACTAACAAAACCCTCTCCTCTAGAAGCAAACCAAACTGCACAGCCTATGCTGTCATCCAGGACAGTATCTAGTGGGTAGATTAAGTGACTAATGCGCTGTTGTCTCATTCTTTTCAATTCCTCTACTGTAACATTAATTTCCACAAAGTTCCAGGTTCTTAAAGAGTTAAGAACTTTTAATTCTTTCAGTCCTGCTCTACCAGTGATTCTGTCAGGAACATCAAATTCATTGGTAGTTTTAGCATCAAAAACTTCACAGCTTTCTTGATGAGAAAGCAAATCAAGGTGCACTTCTTGGTCACTATATTTTTTAGAGGCACATTTTTGCTTATTTTGTTCTTTAGTCGTGAAAGCTACATTGAGAAGATCGATAGGTTCTTCCATAGGAACATGCCGATCAGCGAGAGCTGCAATAAGCATAGAATCGATGCCTCCAGAGAAGAGCACGGCAACATGAGCTTTCCTGGTAGACATGCTTGGAGGGTCTCTTCTTTTCTCATCTTCATCTCTAACCAGAGCTAAAACACGTTTCTTCACTGCTTCACTTAACACATCAATAAACTGATGGACTAATTTCTTCTTGTGTTCTACTCTGAGAAAAGCTTGAAGAGTTTCTACAGACACTGTATTGTTAACGTTGCTAACGTTAGTGCACTGACATTCACCTAAAGCCTCAGAAATGGTTTTATTTAAGGGAATAACTGGTGCTGTTAGACACAGTCTTGATTCATTTGCTACAACTAGTATGTGGTTTGGCAAACCTTTTGAAACTTGATCCAGAACATTAGTGAATATTTCTTCTCCGGTTTTCTCTGTACAGCTGTATTTCCATGGAAACAAACTTAAAGACAAAGCCTTAGCTGTTGCACAGTCTTTGAGATCAATTTTGAAAATTCCAGATGCTGGGACTTCTTGCCACTGCTTATCGGATTCAGAATAAACACTTACAGATGCGAGACAGACAGCCCTCTCAACCTCGTTACTGAACTGCCAAAGCAAGCTGCGACGACCAAAATAATCCCTACCAAACCACAAACAGTCACTAGATCCTTGATAGTAAATAAAAGACCACGGACCTCGAAGCGATGAAAAGAGTGACAAAATTTCTGATTCACTATTGCATAAGGTGAGACGATGAAACATAATTTCAGTGTCATTCTCTAGGGACCCAACATGAACTCCATCAAAAATTTCTCCATTCCAAAGGAAAATATTATTATTGGCATCTTCCAGAGGCTGAGCGGTCATTAGCCCCCTCAAGTGAAGTACCTGACCAGAAAACAGACACTTATAAGAGAGATCAGACACCGTTTTTATCAACTGTTGGCTACTGTCCGGTCCTCTTCGTCTAAGGCAGGAGAGCACATCCTTGCTGAAGGAATCATGAAGCCCATGCTGGCTAGACAAGGTAATGACACAACAAATACCGCACATGGCTAATTTAAATTCAAGCGGACTATTTCTTGATTTTTTTTTCTGATTTTTTTTTTCCTCTCAGAATTCCAATGGGCTATTTCTTGATTTTGGTCTTCTCTGAATTTTCTATCTCCTGATGTGCCTTCTTCAATTCATCTAATGTATCTGTTTAACAGGATAGAGAAAATAAAATGCATGAAGAAGGTAAGTGGGAGAGGATATCCAGCAATTCCAGCCACTTGCCAATAAAGAGATATCTAAGAAATGGTACGAAACACAAGTGCTATTACTGATATAATAAAAAATAGTTTGCTGTAGGCAATTCTTCCATTATACAAAAATTATAGTTTCTGCTCCCCCCCAAAAAAATAAAAGAAACCCTGTACAAATACAAAGACTCAAAGACTTGGGATATGGCCAGTTTATGCCTATATAAACAGTATAATTTGCATCTGTAATAATTTAAAAAAAAAAGCCAACACCAGAAATTGCAGAAATAGCTCTAATCAAAAACATGAAATACATAGCAATGTTTCATTTCAGAAAGTAAAACAGGTTTTTACTTCAAAATGTATAAGTTTCCACTTTGTTTTACTAAGCTTTGCTCAATCATCAGCTCTTTTCATTTTTAAATAGTTAATTATTTGATTAACTTTCACACTTCATACTTACTTTTGCATTGAGATAATGTTTCTGTTCGGTCTACAAGGAAGAATATGTAGCTATTGGGTTGCTGTCTATAAACTTTCTGTAAAACAAAACCAAAACTGCAGTAAGTCAAACCAGCACCATCCTGCACCAGGCACCAACCCTGGCCCACTGAGACACCCTTAACTTTTGGGACAGAGCTGAGAGCTCTGCCCTGCCTACAGCAGCATTCTAATACACTATTAAAAACATATTATGATTTTATTTTCTCTCCTGCACTTTCCTTTTCAACATATACAAAGAAGCACCTTCTATATGAAAGCATATACATCAAATGCAAAAATATTTTATGAAGTCTTGTGGCCAATTCTCCTTTCTTTTATTCTGTCCTAAATGACAAGTAGCCATCAGCTCCTTAATATGAAAAGCAATCATGCTAAAAGCGTAACACATGATGTATAAAATGTCAGAAAGAGCTAATTCTTTGCATAGTGTACAGAAAACCTAGGAGATTTTCTACACTATAGACTATTGTTACCTTTTATGTAACTGTACATCTAATGAAGATATGGAAATAAATTCCATGGGAAACACTGAGTAAAAACAAAACATATTTTAAAAAGAAAAAAAGCACTATACTGTGTTACACTGCAGAAATCTATACAATAAAAGTACTCAGAGAGCAAATCATTTTGAGAACAGTCTATGCCTCATATGTCTATGCCTGGCAATTTCTGTTCTGTACTGGAAAAAAGTTTATTTGCTACTCTAATTTTCAGTTTCCCTCTTGCCTCTATGCTTTTTTCTCTGATCCTAAAATGAAACAGCCAAAAGCAAAATTGTAAGTACTTACCCTGTTCTTCTTTAAATTAGAAAGCTCATCAACTACAATTTTCTGCTCTTTAATCTGGAAGGCAAAAAACACACTTCAAGTTAGCTATTAAAAATAAACCAGCACGTTACAATCCTGATTCTCCTTACCCCTATTTTAACAGGCCTTGAAAAGAAAGTGAAAGCAAGTGTAAGAATGAAAAAAATAGGAGAGGCTGCTCAATATTCCATGACTGCTCAATATTTGAAACTGACACTACAATGCTTTGGGCCATACAACTGATTTACAAACATAGGCTTCTTTTGAATCATTATTTTAAAATATTAATACACTTATGAGCTGGTGAAGCATTATTAAATAACTGCTTTAGAAAGGAGATATCCTGTATGGAGTGGTAGTTTGGCTGTCTGTCAGAATGGCCATTGCTGGGAATCCAGCCATCTCTAGCTATTTGCAGTCACAGATCACATTTTTCCCCAAAAGAAAAAAAAAGTTAACAACTAATAAAGAAAATGTGCTATTTTCCCCCATAAAATTATATCAAGGATTAAAATACACTCTCACAGTTTATTCTCAGATTTTAAATTAGGAAAAAAAATAACCTTATCCACTGTATTATGAGCAAAGGAAGCCTTGCTCTGAAGTTTCTCTTTAGTTTTATACAAACTTCATTAGTGAGACCTGTCAGTCTGTTCACCTGCACTGACAGCTGTGGCAAGGCTTCCCACTTTTTATTATCATGGAAACTCTCAATGCTCCAGAGCAATCAGGAGGAGCTTTGCAAAGCCAAACAGATCAGCAAACCTGTTTGGCAGGCATGTGTGCCATCCTCTGCTAGGGACTGAACCAACAACCTACGCATAAAAGTGTGAGTCCTTGCATATCTAATCTCTGACCACTTCATAGTAGTATAGGCCATCAAAATATATCACAGATTTTAGGTAACATGATCATATGGAAAGGATGCCAGTTTTCCTGCAGAAAGCATTTCCATAGACCTTTACAGATTTCACACTGAATGATACCACTGGCTGTTCTGAAAATAGCACTGATTTATGAGGAATATCATCAAGGAGATCAAAATTTGCCTGTACTCTCTAAGCAGCTGCAGGCAGGAAGCTCCAAGGAAAACCTCACCAATGCACGGGATAACTCAAGCTAAGCCAGGAGCGCTGAAAACAACTTCGTTCTCCCGGTTCTTCGGTAGCAAAGAGGCCACTCAACGCTCATGACGCGACACGGCGCCTGCCCTAGCTGTGAAACTGACAACCCGCACTCCGGGCCGCGCAGGCTGCGCTCCCCCCGTGCCGCCGCACGGCCGGCTCCTGGCGGCGGCCGCAGCTCACGCACCCTCCGGCTCAGCTCCTCCTTGTGGCGCAGCCTCGCGCTCTCCTCCCCCGGCCGCGGCGAGCACCCCGACATCCCTCCGCAACGGCCGCGCCAACGGCCGCGCCAACCGCCACCTTCCCCCTCGCAACCGGTGACGCCGCGCACGCACGCACCGCATTGGAGGAGGGGCGCCGGCGAACGCCAATCAGCTTGTCCGTCCCCCGCCACGTGGGGCGAGTGAGCATGCGCGCGCCGCCCGCCGTCGCATGGCCTCGGGGGCGGGGCGGGGGTTGGCGCGGCCGTTGCAGAAAGGGCGGGAAGGGGCCGCGTCACACGAGCGCTGTGTGGCGGGAGGGTCGCTCTCGTCGCAAGCCCGTTTTCTCCGTGGTTTCCTATACGCGTTGATTCTGTATTCTGTCAGGCTACTGATGACTTAATGCACCACAGCAACAGTGTTGCCACAGATAAATAAAAAATTAATATTAAATAGCTATTTTTGTTGCTGTTTTTGACAGTGTGCCTCAATGGAAAGGAATTTTTCCAATCATGTGTTTGTAAAGAGCCTTAAAGTGTGTTAACTAGCAGAAGCAAACAAGTTACTAGGCAAAAAGAAAGTGATTCTGTTAATACCAGTTTGGGGCTTTGTTCTGCTATCACACGTGAAAGCATGAATAACTCGAATAACTGGACAAACTTCTAGCGTAAAATTCATATGAGAAAGAGTCACAATATATGCTCATCAAATACTATCTTTCCTATTTTTATGCTTCACTGTCAAAATAGTTTTTATTCTGTTACCCTAGCCTAGGGAGTATGAGTTGTGAAGGAAGCATAAATCCCAGACTGGTGCATACAACTTGCGAGCTGACGGTCCCAGAACTGTTATTACGATGTGTCTCGTGTGCTAGAAAAAGCTCAGCTTGTCTTGTTTCTCAAGTGATACTTTGGTTACTTAGGGAGTACAGATGAAAGTGCAGGTGCTTCTGAGTGAGCTCCATTTGACTGGTGAACTTTATGAGTGCTTTAGTTACCGTGATTATCTAATTGGCATGGCAAGGTGGACATGAAGAATGTGTTTGCAATTTCTGTGGTTTGATGGTGCTGCTCCTGTTGTTTGGAATGAAACCTGTGATGTTGGTGAACCCTTGTTACTGCTTAATAACTGTACCAGAAGCCCAAGGCTGGTGTTGTGTGGATGTTTACTTGAAATGTGGTAGTAGGTTGGGTGGCAAGAAGCTCTGCATCAATTGACACTCCAAGAAAACTTCTGGTTAAAGAACTCAGAAGGAAAAAAAAAAAGAAAGTCCCACAAGTTCTTTTGTTGTTTACTGCACTGTAAACAGTACAAAATTGTACAAATTCTGCTAAATTATCTGAACATTTGTTACGTTAGTAAGTGAAGCAAGAACGATGACATTTCCCACTTCACGGTTTGTGGCTCACATAATGATAGGTGTTATGTATTTTGATAACTGAGTTTGGGAGCAAGATTGCACCTTGTTTTGATGGTGTCCATCAACCATAATGAAGTTCACTAGAATTTTTGGCGATGGAATAGAGAGAACTAGGATTCTGGTTCCTAGTGGACGTCTGAGAAAAGCCAATTTATGTTTAATAATATTTGACAATACAGTAAATCACAAGCATTACTATATTTACCACCAATGGGAAAAGAAACCGGAGATATAGATTAATAAAAGGTCAGTCTTGCTCTTCACTCCACCTTCAACCGCACGTTCCTGCTCTTGCTTCAGCACAACTGCTCGTGGGACTGTGTGGGGAGCCGGTTTAGGCAGCTGATCCAGGTTTCTCCCTAGCATATCAGTGGTTATATGAACTTGGCAGCCTCCCAGCTAAACTCAGCTTAACTGAAACTGGAGGGGTTCTGGGCCTTGTCCTTCTAATTCTGTGAGAATTAGCCAACCTGGATCACACAGACTGGTTTTGATGCTATTGATGAATGCACTTGGGAATTTGTTGCTCATGTTCTGTGGAGGAATTCGTTTGATCCGAGTGCCTCCCAGCACTCCGCCGCCTCAGTAATTATTTGCTATTTCTATGTTACAAAGGTTGATGATCAAGTAAGCCAGTAGTCCAAGTATAATTTCCTTACTGATGGCCCTTTTCATGTTCAGTAATAAATAGAGTTAATGTTTATGAATCAACAGTCCATCCCTGTGCTCCTGAGAAGATTTCGTTGATCAGTTTG